CGTAGAATAAGAGATGGAAAGTCCGACGTGAAAATGGGCAGGGGAAAGGATTGAAAGAAGGATTCTCGTTGAGCAACGTCGTCGACAAAGAGAGCAAGAGACGCTTCGTTCTGCAGCCTGATTTGCGTACGATTTCCAGATTACCGTGCGAAGAAAATTCCAGCAGCATGCTGACGGAAGTAGATAGAATCGAATTAGCTAGCCGGAACAGCGATTCCTTGGACGAGAAGAGACCCGTCGAGCCGAAACTGTGGAAGCAACTGGCGCTACTGGCAAATCGATCGTCCGATAATTTCTCTTCCGGTGATTCGACGCTCGAGAACTGCAACCGCGAGGGATACACTTTCCTCGAGAAAATGAACGTTCCGTGGTATTACAAACGTGTCGTGCGTTTGCGCAGCACCGCCAACTTGCTCGATTTCAGTAACCGTTGGATAAAGAGTTCGCAGTTCACCAGCCACGTTCACCAGAGTCTCGATTCAAGTCGAATCACCGACAAGGGGAGCTCGTAGATATGTTAAGTTGTTGGGAGAAAAAAGAAAAAAAAAAAGAAACAGAATGCAACAGAAAATTAAAGATGAGAGTAGTCCTTTGGTTAAGGAAGAAAATTGATTAGCCTTGCGTGAATTTATAAAGGAGACACGTTCAATTTCGATTGTTATTGGCCGTCTAATTATTATTATTATTATTATTGTTACCATGATCGGGCTGCAAAGCATTAAAAAAAGAAAAAAGGAAAAAAACATATTCTGATTCGCGTGAGCACGTGCAAAAATTCCAACAACGTTTTATATCTCGATCAAAAAAAAAAAAAAAAGAAAAAAAAGGAAAAAAGGGAACAAAAATAAATCGTCCGTTTTTATATCACAACAATTTTCGTTGAAAGGAAGTTTCCATTCTGCCCGAAATTTTCGTCCGCCAAAGTGTGGGGAAAATAGAAACTACGGAACAACCTGCAGACAAAAAAAAAAAAAAAAATTAAATCTACAGTTGTCCACGCAGTTTTCAAATATCGAGACTGAAAAAAAGCACATACGTGTTTTTCCTACTATTTCGAGTGTCTCCCGCGACTCTTGAAAAAGTTGAAGTTACGACGAGATTGTGTTCCATCGACTAACGTACTCATAATCGTCTGCACACACGACGACATACGTTCTTTTTTTTTTTTTTTTTTTTTCTTCGAATCACGTCGACGAACGCGTTTAAATAAATAACGACACGGTGTGATCGCTTGCTCTTACAAGGGACGTTGATGAAAAGAAAGTGATTCGTTCGAAGCATTGATATTCCAGCGCGTGGGTGTCGCGAGAGGACGAAGGATGCGCAAAGGAATGCAAATGAGATGAGAGCCGCCCCCGCTGGCAGCGAGAAAGGAGGTTAGCTAAGTGAAAGCGTTATAGATGGATTGATCTTG